GGGTATTTTCTCCCATTCATGTTGAGCATCTACTGCCTCAGGCACTGAGAGCCCAGAAGGCAATGGATGGTTCCCCCACAATGTGCCCACAGTTCCCATTGTGTCCGGGCTAGTCTGACCTGCCCAATTCTGTTACTTGCAGGGTTTCAGGTAGGAGTAGCTCACCAAACACCAGTATTGACAAAGTCCATCACTTACTTATAAGAATCCACTTGTATATGTACCATATATATGGTTCTGGTTTGGTTTCCTTTAGTGCTGCTTTGTTTGAGGAAATCAAGAGGAATAAAATAGAAATTGAGAAACAGAATATCTTCAGCATTCACAGTGAAATGAAGGAAGCTGGGAGGTCTGGAGATACTTAGTTCCAGACAGTGTGTAAAGTACAAGGGGAACAAAAAAGCAAATACCTGTTTAGGAAAACTAAACAAAGTATCACTCAAATTACAGAGCGGCCACCCTGAAGAGCAGTACACATTGCTCACCATACAAAATGTTCATCTGTGGCCAAAGCATAACGGTAAGAAGTAGGGAATAAGGTGGAAAGGTTATTACCATTCTGAAGCCCTTCCATGCAACCTGCCTGAGGAGTCCGCTGTTAAGCAAACTGGTAATTTAAAAGATCTGTGAGGAAAAAGTTATTTGAGTTTTCCCTATTCAATAACTGAAAAATTTTAAGATTTTAAAAACTTTCCAAACTACAAAATCTTTAATGATATCAACATTTCCTGTTCTGTGTGCTCTACATATGCACACACTACTGGCAATATTGTTTCTTCTGTATACTAGGTACCAAGGATATGATGAATAAAAAGCCATTACCCCCCACCATGAGATACCATTAAGAAGTGATTTGAGCTGAGGGTTGTGTGAACAGTCTGACAAGTGTGAGGACCACCCAAAAAGCTCAGTGGAAGAAAGCACTTGCAAGCAGGTGCAGGAGCCAAGAGTTCAATCCCCAGGCCTGCTGTGCCAGCCCCGCCCCCAGGGCATACAGAGATGGCAATTGAGACCTGGCATGGTGGCGTGGGCCTGTAATCCCAGCACTTGGGAGGCTATAAACAGACGGATCACTGAGTCTGATCTAGAGTTAAGACCCTGAACACCCTGTAGATCCTTTCCTAAAATTAAAAAAAAAAAAAAAAAAAAGTCTGACAAGTGTGAGATTAACACTACCCTAAAGTTGTAACAGAAATATGAAAAATCACAAAGGCTTCAGCTACCTAAGAAGTACAGTGCTTACAAGTAAAGAAAAGAGCAAGAATTTAAAAGATCCTAGGTTCAAACATGTCTTTATCTAGCTAGCTAGCTCATTAAAAATAACCTGCCTGCTCAGAGTCACTGGGACAGCTTTAAGATTAAGAATGCATGTGATCGTACCCATCACAAAATGCCTGACTGGCCAACAGTAGGTAACCAAAAAATGCTCATTCAAATCTCTACTTTCTTCACTGTTCAAAATCAGACAAAGGCATACTTATTTCCATGAAAATAAATTATTTTTCCCAGTTTTCCTAAATCAAGTGCCAGAAATCTGGTAAAAGTCTTTGGCAGCTTAAAATTTGCTCTGCACTCAAAGAACCCTGGACTAACAATTTACAAATTTAATTTATGACAGAGACTTTTGAGAACAATTTTAATCTTCCCAGAGTACTTGAAATTTCTAACAATTTTGATTCCAAAGAAAAAATAGAAGGTATAAATATTTGATGAAGTATGTTATGCAGAAAATTTGTATTTTTAAAAGCATCAAATAACCTAAAACTATACAACTTAATAGTATTTCCTTCTAAGTCCACCAATAGTATACATAACATGAACAGAAGCTCTGCAGCAGAAAAAATGGAAAATTAAATGGAGTCAAAGTTTCATGAAAAGGCATAAAAATCAACAGCAATTTAGGACTTCTATCCAACCAATTCAATACTTTTTAAAGTTATTTTAAAATAGTATTGAAGCAGAAAATATAGGCTAATTGTTGAGGAAAAAAATAGCCCATTTAACAGTTTACAGATTGTTACAATAAAGTGTTAATTCAACATTAATCTAAATTATTTTTAATTTAAAGTTTTATTCTTTTTTTTTTTTTTTTTTTTTTTTGTAGTACCAGAGAGAACTCAGGACCTTGTGCTTGCCAGGCAAGCACTTCTCATATGTTTTTAGCAAATATACTTTTTTTTTTTTTTTTTTTTTTGGCGGAACTGGGAATTGAACTCAGGCCTTGTGCTTGCCAGGGAAGCACTTATTCCACTGAGCCATCTACCCAGCCCCTAGCAAATATACTTTTACATATTTATATAATCGTGTATTTGTCAGTAGATTAATACATATTTAGACATTTTAAAAATCTGAAACAAAGCATTGAGATCTGAGTTCTAGCTTGGCTCAGATGCCCAAGACATCTATGACTTAGTCATCCAGCATTTCTGCAACTCGGCACACAAAAGTGAATGAAGATTATATAATCAGAATTTCTCAACATGTGCAGTCACACACATACACAAAGCTCTCAGCCTCCTGATCCAATATATTCTCTGTATCAAATGAACATGTACTGAATGCATACAATGATTATGTGATGAAAAATAACAATTTCAAGAACAAATGACACAGCTTAAGACACAGCAGCAAAATTTTCAAGTGGGTTTTCAGTGGTCCCAGTATCTGGGAGTAGGAAGATATCTCAGCCAGTTCAAAGGCTTCAGCTGAGACATCAGGGAAAACTATGTACTCTGTACAGGAAGTACCAGAACAGCTAATAGATAACTGAGAGGAAGTCGTAGGAGTTGTGGTGCAAAACTGATGCCAGGGGTCACTAGGAGCAAAGCTACCTGGTGCTTTTTAGGCCATATAAATTTGGAAATTATCCCAAGAAGAGTGAGGAATCACAAAGGGTCTAAGCAATAGTCTGGCACAATCCATTTGTTATTTTTGAAAACTCACAGGCTGCAGTACATGGAATAGGGACAGGAAAAAGCATTTAAGAGGCAGCTTGGGCAATCTGCAACGACAGTGGAGGCATGAATTAGAAGGCAGTGCAATGCTAAGAGGAAGGGCTCAAGGGGGAAGAGAGAGTGCAAAGAGAGTGTGTACCTGCATGAGGCCCAGGTTCGACCCCCTGACCAAGTACAGTAACTGACCATCATAGTAGTAGCAATAATTCTGCATCTTAAGTCAGTTGTCTATATTCAATCATGCGATTTTCTACTTAGCAAATATACAATTTTCAGCAAGTTGGGTTTTTTTTTTGTTTTTTTTTTTTTTTTTTTTTGGGGGGGGGGGGTGTGGGCAGAACCAGAGATTGAACTCAGGCTTGCGCTTGCCAGGCAAGCGCTTATTCTACTGAGCCATCTCCCCAGCCCACAGCAAGTTGCTTATACTCTCTACGACTCGGTTTGTTTGTTTAGTACTGGTGAGTGAACTCAGGACCTTGTGCTTCCCAGGCAGGTGCTTAAGCCACTGATCTATCTCCCCAGCCCAACAGCTCAGTTTTTGTTAGTGCACAGATAAAAATATTTATAGGACTGCTGTCCAGTATACAAATAAAATAGATGATGCCTGGCAGAATGCAAATGTTTATCATCATTATTAATGCAATCCATGGGGCACAGAAATGAGATTACAAATATAAGATGTTTAGGAGACAGAAACGGACAGTTTGGATACAGAGAAAAGGGATGAGCAAACAGACTCTAGTTTCTGGTGATAACAGGTATGCTACTTGGTAATCGAAAAACTCGGAAAGTTGGAAGAATTATGTGTGGTTCCTTTTTAATACGTCAATTGTGAGAGCTGTGAAGGAAACAGTGCAAAGCTAGAGATCTGACTCTCAGAGAGAGTAATGGCAATTGCATCCACAGGCACTGAGGGGAGTTCCTAGGCAAATGGGACATAATATGAAGCAGCAACAACAGGCAGATCCTTGGGATCACCAATACTTAAAAAAAATGTGCAGGGGAGGAGACACCTGCAAAGGAGATGGGAGCAAGAAGCCAGAAGGACGTCAAAAGCAAAAAAAAAAAAAAAAAAAACTCATTTCAGAGGGAGCACTCAACAAATTCAAACTGTTAAGCAATGAAATAAGAATTGAAATTTTTCACTGGATGTAGCAAAGCTGTTATTCATTCATACAGTAAGGGAAGCACTGTGCAAGGCTCTCAAAATGCAGATGTAAAAGATGCTTGCCTACATTACACGATCTTGCTTCCTATATTACATGCATTTAAGCAGACAAAACACTTAAAAACTGTAATAAGGACAGAGGGTAGAAACAGAGGCATGACACGGCCCATAAGCAGAAGCCAGTATCACATATAGAGTTTAGGAGGGCGTTTTACTGAGGAGGAAAAATTCAAGCTGAAACAGGCAGGAAAGAGTTAGCATGGCTAGAAAATCAAAAATAGGATGACCATGTATTTACAGTACAAAGAGGGGGTGGAACAGGGAGAGAGAAAGAAGATCATGTTTGCAGATCACACACACTCAGCACAGAGAAGAGTTTTGATGACCTGTTGAATATTCATAAATAGGAGACAGGGATATAGTTCAGTGGCATAAGCTCCTACCTAGAAAGCACAAGGTTCTGAGTTTGAATCCCAGTACCACAAAAAGTCATAAATGGAAAGTTGGGTTCACTCTGGCTGGTAGTACTTAATAGTTCAGTTTTCCTCATTAATATTAGCCGATTAAAAACTGGACATTTTACTACTCTTTCAACCATTATTACAATATCAGAATAAACTTCTATTATAAAAATACTACATAATCACAAGCACATTATCTGTTGCATTAATTGTACTAAGCCTCTTTTTAACTTTTTCCACATTTTTTTAAGGCTAGTCATTACAATATCTAATTAGTTCTATCACTGAATTACTTCTCTGAGGTACTCATTTTCAAGCAATGTGTATCACAATGTGAATGCTTTATATCAAAACTGTAAGGTGCTACTGAAATGTATATGGGTCAATGACACATACACACAAACTGATGGCATTCTTTTTAAAAATAATTATATTCCAAAGTTCCAGTTTTCTATTTTTTTTTAATCTATGCATTTACACACATATATGGGGCAAGACTGGTGGAGGAAACGGGCTTCATTCTAAGCAGCTGAATTGATGCATGTATTATATTTTAACTTCTTTATGTGCCATAATTCCTATGTTTCACAAGGATATCAATAACAACAAATGTCATTTACTTAACATTCATAGACTATCAGCCAGTAAGGGCCCACTTTCAAATACATACATTATTTTTGATCACTCCAATACCTCTAAAAACAGGCATTATTCTTGCCATTTTACAATTGAGAAAACAGTTACAGCAAGGCTAGGTGACCTGTTCAAGATTACAGTCTTGGAATTACAGTTCAGTTCCACATGCTTGAGAAGTGTGGCCACTTTACAAAGGTACCTTAAGATTGGCTTCTTTAGAAACACCCTCATATGAGACATGAGATATTGTTACAAAAATGAATTTTTACATAATAGATGTTTTACTCAGCTTTTAATAAATTGTGTATACTGAAACATTAGCCAGACACTCTCCTTATATATTCTTCCTGCTGGTATAATAACTTGATTTCTTTTTTCTTTAAATTTTAAAGATGAGAAATAAACACAACTACATTGCATTTAAACTCAAAGAATTACCATCCTGGGTCAAAATTTCTTCCTACTTGATCCTACATACACTTATTTAATCCAGTGAGCTACTAGCAATTAACTGCCTAGTCTCATAAAGCATATTTGTCTCCTAAAAGTTAAAAACTAGAAATGGCCTGAGGTGTTCCAGAATTTAAAAGGTCTAAACTCTCATTAATACCACTACTGAATAAAAAGCCACATAACTTGATTCATCATACTGTGAAGCTCTTCCTACTAAGATTTTCCTGTTAGCCAAGTCATCCACCAAGACACTGCTTGAAGTCTAAATAGATATATAAAAAAATAAATTGCTACCAGATTATCTTTATTTCCTTAATAAAATATACACAGAGCACAAAATTCACTCCTGTATCATCATTATGTAACAAGTATAAATAATAACTAAGAATTCAAGTACAGTCAAGTGCACATATATTTCCTATATGTTAATATGTAAACATAAACTAAATATATATACCATGTGCCTTTGGCCCAGCTGCAAAATAAAAAACATCAAAAGAAACACTGCACTTGACTGTTCAACTGCATTCCTATTGAGAGCTCGTACCAATATCTAGTAGTTACAGTTACAGCTTTCACTTCAATTAATGTAAACACCTAAGTAGACATTTACTCCCCACTGGCAAATATCTCAAGACTTAAAACTTTGTTTTTAATACCAAAGTATTGCAGTTCGTCCCCAAACACTATTAGAGAAATTATTCGTAGCCAAAGTTCTTCCTATGTCCAAACAGATGTATATAAAACAAGAATGCTCTTTTTGTTTTGACTTTTACAATGGATATAAAATATCTGAAAGCTGTCTAAATAGTGTTGGTTTTTGCATATTCAAAGGGATTTTACTTCACTGATACCACTTGCTTATAATTTTAGCATCCAGCATATAAAACTTTGACATACTGAAATTGGTAGATAATCTGAATTTAAATGATATAAAGCATATACGTAGAGGAGCAAAAAAATTTAAAGTACCATCAAAAAAGTAAAAACTGACATCAACAAGACAACAAATATCCAGTTGAAGGCACGTGGAAGGGTTTACTACTTCGTCATCAAAGATTCTCCACTTAGTTCAAAATCAGTAGAATCCGTGCTGGGAACTGCTGACTTGGTGTCATTCCTTGAGGCTTCCTCATTTGCAGTCTCTTCTTGTTTTTCCTCTAACTCCTGTGAGCCAGATGCTTTTTCAATCACTTGGTGTGTCTGCTCTGTGGCTGATACTTCGTCATCTGTCTTCACTGTACTATTATCAAGAACATCTTGTTCTTCTAAAGATTCTGAAAAGACAAAGATTCAAGACTTCAGAAACATCCAAATGTTAAAACTGCTAAATAAGGCAAGTAAAAAATAAACCAGTCACACACATGTGGGCATACATATACAAACTAAGGAACAGCAAAATAGTTTAGAAATATATACACTTAAAATCTTTTCTTTGCCAGTCCTAAAGCTTAAACCCAGAGCCTCATGTATGCTAAGTAGGTGCTATACCCGAGGAACACTCCCACAAACCCATTCAAATCTTTTAAAGCAAATACGGAATCCTCCATACATACCATTTATGAGTTAGTATGAAGAAAAAATATTTTAGTAATCCCATAACTAAAGTTTCATATGGAAACTTTTCATATTTCCATACAAAAAAAGCTCAGACTTCCTCAAAGAACTGTATCCCAGCACTCTTGCTTGCAAGCAACATGTCAACATTGACTTCTGTATGTGTGCATGCATGCGTACACATGTAGGGGGTGCGCTTTCCTATCCTTGTGTATCTTTATGTATTACTCAAGGACTGGGGAACAACAAGTATCTCTCTGCAAGACAAGTCCTCAGTGTTTACACATCTGAATCAGAATATTCTATATGCCTAGTACCCTAGGGAGAAGAAAAGGGAAATGCAGTTCTTAGTCTTGACCTAGAAATTTGCTCCTTTTTAACGCTTTTTAAGTATTATTAAATGTAAATTCTTTAACAATAATTTCATGGGCCAGCCAGATAGCTCAGCAGACTAAAGCATCTGCTTAGGCAGATGCAGTAGCCAGGGTTCGATCCTTAGCACACCATGCCAGCCTCACCCCCAGGATACGCTGAGACAGCAGTTGAGACTGGGTGTGGTGGAACGTGCCTGTAATCCCAGGACTTGGGAGGCTGAAAACAGAAGGATCCCAACAAGTATGATCTAAAAAAAGTAACTTCAAAATAGTAATTTTATTAAATAAATTGCCTTTAATTCTTTAAAGTTTAAAGAACAAGATGGAGAAGGAGGTGAAGGGAGCACACAAGGTTTTGGCCACACTCTTTCAAAGTCAAAGATAAAAACAGCTTTGAGGCATTTCTTTTTGTTGCTGTAACAAATACCAGTTAATATTCTTATGAAGAGAAACATGGTTAAACCCCATCAGCTAACAAACATAAAAGCATATTTTTCCTACTCTCATAGAATATTCTACTACAAATGTTACTGATTCAAAACATCTGGGGGCAAACCAATCTACCTACTAAAAGTTTTAAATTCCCTGCAAAAAATTTTTTGCAACATAAACGCTTGACAAAAAAAATTATGTATTATATTCATGTCAACATGGAAGTCTTAGAAATTCATGGTTTTACTATATGAGTTGTAACAAAACCAAATTATTTCTCACACACTATATGCCAGTGTGTGTGAGAAATATTATGTTCCACTATTATGTTCTGGGCTCTATCTTATCAAATTAATTACAACTGCTTTTCTCCTTTTTATATATAAAAGGAAAAGTCCAAATTCCAGTCAGGGACACACAACTTAGTGTTATTTTACTATATTAAAATCTCATATAAAAAAAAATCTCATATGATCACAAAAAGTAGGAACAAATAGTAATAAACTACAGTTGTGACAAATACCATAAAAATATTACTTGTATCTTGATGTGGAGCTAAAAGTGGCACTGTTTTATCAGTTGGAAGCTTAACAAAAATCAAGATAGAAAAGTAGTAGTTTGCTTGAGTTTTATATGAAAGTTCCATGGCAGAAAGAAAAAGCAGAAGGACAAATAAAGACTCCACACACATGTACAAATTATCTCTATTACAAAGGTAAGTCAAATGTGTGCAAAACTTAAATGTCAGCTATTTATAATTTTACCCTCACAGAATTTATCCAGATTAGAATTTTAAGTGTCATAGTTTTCAACAATTCTCTAGTCATACTTGCTTGGCAAAAATTTTATAATCTGTTCAGTAAGACTTCTGAAACCGCTAAAGCCACATAATAAAAACGTAATAATTAAGAGTTCAGACTCTACAGTGGAACTCACCAATAAACATTGGGTAAGTGAACACGAAACCATAGTTTGTTATTTTCTAACAGATTGCTTCTATATACACCAAAATGCGAGAGGTACCAAAGTGCAAGGTTTATCACATTTAATTTTGTGGTATGACTATTTTCAGAAAATAGTCAAAGCCAATTCAAAAATTTTCAATTTATAAAAACATAGTTATGGGGCTGGGGAGATGGCTCAGTGGAATAAGTGCTTCCCTGGCAAGTGCAAGGGCCTGAGTTCAATCCCTGGTTCCTCCCAAAAAAAAAAAAAAAAAAAAAATGGTTAACAAAGAGGGAATACAAAAATTCAAAGAAAGGTCACGGTAGACAATGTTTCCAATCAATTCTGCATCTCAGAGACTGTGCAGAAGACTAAAAAAAAAATGATGAAATGATAAGCAGATCTCGAATATAATCAAATAGCCTACTAGTAACTAGTTTTCTTTTGTTAGGTTGATATTCAGAAAAGCAATAGTAGTAACAATAAACTTGGTGTACGACATTCCTATAACGAAAACATCAGTTTGTCTAAATGAAATAGCTATATTATGTTTAGAAGTCATGCTGTAAGAGAAAACAAGATCAAATGATCTAGATAAAACAAACTAGGTATGAAAGATTAACAGAAAACTACAGATCAATTTCATAACTAACCCTCAGAAGTTATTACTATGATCAGTTTATTATTATGACAATTTCCTACTCCAAAAACTTATTTCTACAGCAGAGAATCGTTTGACTATTCTAATACAAACAGTATATTGTTCCTAGGAAGTTGCAGTTGAAAATAGCTCAGTGATATAAAATACATTTCAGACACTATTTTCCCACAAAATACTAAAAGAAAAACCAGGCTTTTGTGTTCTCAATAAATAAAAAGGCCTACTTTTGCTATGTGACCCAGTTGAAGTCTAGGGGTTGAAATATGGCCTTCTAAAATAACTTAATTCTGTCTGTATAAAATTTTTTAAATCAACTTCAGCATCTATCATGTGAAGAAAACACTGCATCACAATAAGGTAAAATGAACACAAATGAAAATAAAAACAAAATGAAATTTCTTTTCCTACTCTTGCCCCTCCCCACATTTATATTCTTGACAGAAAAACTTGAGCAAAACTCACCAACTAGTTTTTTGGGAAAAATCTCAACTCAGACAACTCAAATTATTAAAATTCAGTGTAACTATCACAGATACCACAAAAAGCATGCTGAGAATTTCCCTTACCTTTAGATTTTTAACACTATCTCTTAAAAATGTAATTTTCTAAGAAAATTAAAGAATTATCTAGCAAAAAAACTTCATTTACTTTTATCTTGCTAACATAAAAATTTTGTCTTCCTAGCCAGGAGTGTGGCATATGTCTATAGTCCCAGACTAAGTCAGGAGAACTACTAATTCCAGGATAGCCTGGCTAACTTAGCAAGATATTGTCTTAAAACTCTGAAAGAGGACTGTGGACTGAATTCCTTGTACCACTTTTTTTTTTTAAAGAAAGACCTTCCTAATATTATCAATGCTTCGTATATATGTAAGATTTACAAATTTATACAAAGAATATCATTAAATTAAAATTGACAATTTGAAAGGCGGGCCAGATAGTTCAGCAGACTAAAGTGCCTGCTTGGTCAGGCATAGTGACTGCGGTTCAATCCCTGGCTTGCCATGCCAGCCCTGCCCCCAGGGCATGCTGAGAGGGTGACTGAGACTGGACATGGCAGTGTGCACCTATAATCCCAGCGCTTGGGAGGCTGAAAACAGGATAATCACTATGAGTCCAATCTGTGCAGTGAGGTTCTGTAGACCCTGTACTAAAATACATAAAACTAAATAAATAATAAATTGACAATTTGTCTTCAACTTTATACATTTCAAACAAAGTCATTTTTCTAAGAATTTCCTGTTTTATGGAAAAACAAATATATTTTGAACAAAGGCATGAATATCATTCCAACTCAATCCAATGATGCAATAAAAAATCATAACCACTTCTCAGAAAATAGCTAGTTTTCAACACAGAATGCCATTTAATTATTTACTACTGATGAACAAATCAAATACTGTTTCATTATTAAGTGATACACTAAAACCTAAGTATTAGGGGAAAGCATTTTAGATAAAGTGGTCAGGGGATGGGGAGATAGCTCAGTGGAATAAGTATTTGCCTGGCAAGTACAAGGTCCTGAGTTTGATCCCTGGTACCACCAAAAAAAAAAAAAAAGATAAAGTAGTCAGAAGCCCAGAAGAACTCCATATTTAAAGCAAACATGCAACACAGGCAAATTTATATCCTGAGAAAACTGAACATAATATAAACAAAATCATAAATTTCATGGGTCTGATAAATACAAAATTCAGTAAAATCTTCATTACCACATGTTAAAGAGCATCAAAAGAAAAATACTAAAAGAATTTTCCCTCACTCAACATAACCAAATGGCAAATATTTTTTTGTAAATGAAAGGAACACCAGAAATCAGATTACCAAGGAAATTTTCACTGTGTAATTTTACTATTTTTTGCTAGTTTTGTTTAGATACCATGAGTTTTATTATTATTTACAGTTGTATAAAAGTTACTTTCTACTAAAATAATTACATGTGACCTGGACAAACAAAACTGAACAATGAAAACAAAATATTAGCTTTTAAAAAACATGCTAGCCAAAAAAGTAAAATAAAAATCCCTTGGAAAGTATGCTGACAATGTAGAAAAAGATTAACACATTAACAACAGTGCTATGTATCAGATACTTTAGAAAGTATATTTTTTAAAGGCAAAACTGATAAACCACTTTAATAATATTTAGCAAAGAATCTAGTACAGGACATCATTTCATCATAAAAGAAACAGGAATCTAAAAGCAGTTCAATTTTTTTACATACTGTATCTTAGGTGCTCTCCAGTTGAAAAAAAATAATCCATATCCCTAATTTCTTGGATTTCTCTGTTACCAAAGCATCAGGACAACAGTTATAGGAAAGAAACTATAAATTCAAACAAACAATTTATGGGAGAAATTTCTTGTAGGTCTCTTTGATGAAAACTTTCCAAGATTCCATATGTTGTTCTAAAGAGTATACCAGAAATTATAAAAGCCTTGTGCTTCATGCTAAGTCAAAACCTTCTAATATCACAATCCAGGCAAAAAAAACTTTAAAAGCTTGTGTCACGGAGTAGGAAAAAAAAGTTTCTTCTATTAATTCTAGATCATTCATATAAATGGTTACTGATGGAAGAAAGTTACCTTTTGGTTCTGTCTGTAAATTCAGTAACCTAAGCTCTACAGTTTGTGCTGCCATCAAAAAGCTATTTCAGGATACAAATTTTAAAGTTCTTTTTTTTTTTTTTTTCAGTCCTCAATTTTCTACATCATTGAAGAAATCAGAAATCTAAGCTTCCAGCTACATTTGCTCTTGGCACAGAATAGACGCCTGAGATGACATCATCTGAAATGCTTCCACGTGTTCACTAAGAATCCAGTTTGGAACTGATAACTGTTATCACACAGTGGTGATAGTTTTTTTTAAAAACTTTCCATCTTCTAAAAAGTCCAAGAAGAAAGGATGCTCATGGCCACTTGGGTGAATCCACAGAGAAGCAAAGAAACTGTTACTACTCTAGAAATGACTGTAACCTAATGGACCTGTTGCTTCAGTTTCATCAGACTCTGACTCAAATTTGGTCTCACCTATTGACATTACCTTATTAGGGTTGAGTTTGAGCCAGTTAGACTTCATTCCGGAGAGTTCAGACAGAAAATGAGACATCTGGGGTAATGCTCCTCCTAGATTAGATGAGAAGGAAAGGTACAGCTGGGTGTTGTTTGCTAACTACCCATCTTGGCCTTAGCAGAAGAAATAAAGCATGGGACTTTTATAAAACTTTTTATTTGGTTGACTGCTTTTCCTGTTCTTTTCCTTTTTAAAAAATATCTTTTTAATCCCAATTATTGGCTTTCAAATATCCACTTTAGCTTTCATAAGCATGGTTACTCATGGAAAGGACTTCAATCTTTCCTCTAGGCTTCTTCAGTATGAAATTCTTTTAACTTTCAGATCCAAGAGGTTGCAATGGCAAGGCAGATGGTTCGCATGTTGACAGCATGCAGTTCAGAGCATGACAAGCAAAAGAAAAAAACGTGACTCTTTTTGGAGTTGATGTTGCCGACTTGAAGAAGACGAATGCATTCCTTCAGCATCAGAAGAACAGAGGCTTTGTCATAGCTATCCATACTCAAATTCACTTTGGTGTTTGTTAGTAAGCCGAAAGCCAAGCCTAGTTCAACACACATATTTTAGGTTCACTCTTCAAAGTCTAAAATTAACTTCATATCTCATACTAAATTTCTGATATCTGAAAATTGACTGCTTCATGTAGTACTCTCATTAAAGTCAATTTTGCAATAACTAATGCTTTAAAGAAGAAATCAAATATATGTAAATGATAACTCCTAGAAATTAAAAGGATGAATACAGACCGCTAAATAGTGAACTAAACTTCCAATATACATTCCACACCAGATACAGCACCCAAATATTATAATCTCCATCATAACTGTAGCAATGTCTTAATTTAGAAGCAATTAACAAAGAATTCTGACCAAATATTAATAGTAAGAAATAGCTAGCTATTAATAGATCTTCTATTTCACCCTTTAGATTATTTTTTCATGAAATTTCCTCAAAAATTCCTAAAAGAGAATGGCAAGGTGAATTCTAAAACACAGGTTTGGACAAATTCTATTTCTGTAAGATGTTTCATTTTATATTAAAGTCAATGTTAATCTCATGAACCTCTATAAACTATTTTAGTAGAATACAGTCCAATTTATGTAGTCATCCAAAAATGCAAAGATGACCTCTTAGTTCCAAAGTTTCCTGCTGTTAATTTTCACCACTTTGAATGGTAGACACATACCTGTTTTATCAGTAGTGTTAATCATAACTCTTCAAAATACTTCGTCCTTAAAGGTTTTTAACAATGTGCTTTGCTTGAATAAGTTTAAAAATATTACCAGTCAAATCTCCCAACAGTTTTTTAGGAGAGCTAACTCTTTATGCCATGTTTATCTAGCTGGTGCTAAATGCTGCTTGTTATATATCTACACTTTTAGAAAGATCTTTGGTGCTCAGGACTAAACCCACTGAGCTAAATCCCCATGCTCTAAAATTTGCATTTTAAAACTGAAGCATATCTCTAGGTGTGGTAGTGCATGTCTGGAGTCTCACTACTTGAGAGGCTAAAGCGAGAGGATCACCGCAAGTTCAAGACAACCTTGGGCTACAATGGTGATTTCAAGGCCAGTTTGAACTACAGAGAGACCCTGTCTGAAAAGCAAAAAAATTAAAATAAAATAGAAATATATCATACCACACAGGAGGCCATCAGAGCAACAGCTGACATATGCATGCTGCAAAATGATAAATTAATCCAGTTATCTATAAGCATTATGCTTTTAATATTGTTAAACAACACACATTATAAAGAGACATAAAACTTACTGACAGATTCATACCTTCACTGAACTGGTTCTCTGACGAAAGCATACTTTCTGATGGCAAAGGACCAACTGAACTTGAGTCTTCCACTGCCTGCCTTTTCTCAAAACTAAACTCTGGAAGTCTTGGAGCCTGAGGTCTGGTTTTTCTTGCAGGATTCAAGAAAAAACAATAGGCACATCGAAAAGCTGCAGAGAATTTTTAAAAATTAAGCAAAATCATAAACCAAAGAAGACTAAAAAGGTAACTCAGAAGATTAGTTTTGCAAATAGTCAAGAACACTTCAAAAGTAACTTACACCTTGTGAAATGTATGCTGCTTAAATAATATTATGGTTGGTATTCTTACCAAAGCTAATTTTAAGGCAGACTCATTATTTTTTATTATTATAATTATTATTATTAGGACACAAACATTCAGGCAAGAATAACACAACAAATTAAACAGCAGGTTAACTGATAGCAAAATGATAGTAATAAGTTAAATATATTACTGAACTTAAGTAGAATGAATAGAATGCAACCATGAAATATTCTAAAATCTATAAACTTACTAATTTGTTGAAAAATGCAGTGTCATATTTCAAAAGCATAATTATATGATTATTTAAGAGTGACCACAAGTAAGAATCATCTATAAGTTTAAAAGAAAATGAGATATTTAATTTTACTCCAGATCTATTAAGTCACTCTTAGTAGGTGTGTACTGCATACCCTCATTTTTTTTAAAGCTCTTCAGGTAATTCTGATGCACTGTGAGTTTAAGAAAAACTGCCCAAGAAGCTGTTCATTATATGAAGAAATGTGACTTCTTTTCTCTGCTTTGCTTAGAGTATTAAATATGCTTTGCCAATATGTACAGAGACAATGTCCAAAACAAAATAGCATTACATTGGAAGTGTAACAGAATGGAGCAGTTAAGAGTAAAGTATTTAAATCTAACTGCCCAGTAATTCTTACCAATGTATTCAAATTCTTCTTTCAAAGCCATGCCATTATGAGAAAAACACTGCTGACATATAAGGGCATACCTACCAAAAAGAAAAAAATGAATATACCAATGACAAAAGCAAACACAGCTCATAGGCTATTTTAGCCATCACTGATAATATGCCATTAACAGATTAAATGTTACTCAGTATATGACACTCCTTAAAGTAAAAGTTAACCAAAGCCAAAATGTCAACAATTAAAAAACAAAATTATATCAAAATTAAAATGAAAAGTAAGAAATGCTTGAAAATATTTGACAATATAATGCTTAAAATTCAATATTTCCCAGTATATATTTCCAAGGATGACAGGTCCCAAATAGTTGGTTACATCTAAGTTTGGAAAAGACAGAACTCCTATGAGATTCACAATGAATATTATTAAAGCCTCTGAGAAATTTTGCAATAAAGAAATGTATTTTTTATAATCTGGACCAACAGTTATACCATAGCTCCTGCACTTCTCTCAGTTACACTTAAAAATCCTCTTCATGGGCCCGGGGAGACAGCTCAGAATAAGCACTTGTTTGGCAAGCACAGACAGGGTCCTGAGTTCAAACCCCCAGTACCGCAAAAAACAAAAAAAAAGATCCTCTTCATTTTCACTTATACACACTCTAGTCTCTGTACCCATACTCAACAAGTGAATGGCTTGATCAAAAGTAATCCATCTTATTTGAAATAATAGACAGTAGACTACATTAACATAAAAATGCCATTAACAGATTAAATGCCTTGTGGAGAAACCTAGTCAGGCGCAGGGGACTGCAGTTCAATCCCCATTAGTCCATTTGAAAATCATATTAGCTAGCAAAGTTGTCAAATATTCATTTTACTACACTCTGTGTGTGTGTGTGTGTGTGTGTGTGTGTGTGCGCGCGCTTTTTGAAATAGAGCCTTTTATGTTTTTGTTTTTGCTTTTTGTTTTTTCTTAGAGCCTTTCTATATAGTCCTGGCTAGTCTTGAACTCTCTATTACCCAGGTAGGCCTTGAACTCACAGCAATTCTCCTGCTTCAGCCTCCAAGTACTGGGATTCCAGGTGTGAGGCATAATATTACTGCTAGTATTCTGTTTTTTAAAAAAGTCTATGCTATGATAATTGCTCTAGCTTCCTAGAGTTATAGCAAGTGCCAAGTAAGATAATAATTGGGAAAGTTTTTTGTTTTTTGGGTTTTTTTAATTTTATGTATTTGGTATAGGGTCTCACTACACAGCTCGGATTCATAATGATACTGCTGTTTTCAGCCTCCCCAGCACTGGGATTACAGGCATGGGCCACCACACCCGGACTTGGTCACCAGCTCAGCACACCCAATGGTGGAGCCAGTGTGGCACCTGGTACCGGGGACAAACCCCTGTCCCTACACTTGCCAAAACAGGTGCTTAGCCCACTAAGCTATCTTACTGGCCCTCCAGGAAAAGTATTTTGATAACTATAAGCATTAGATAAATGTGTCATCATCCTGTACTGATACCTATCAAACTCCATTTCTCAGAACTTACCAGATTTTTACCAAGATTCAGTGAAATAATTCAAGTTCTCAAAAATTAATCTTACAGCAAAGTTAAAATTCTTTTTTTCCCAAATCACTTTTAACTACTTTGTCCAAACTCCTACTAAAACAACTAAATATATACTATTTTGGAAAGCTATAACTATTTTATTATATTCTAAAACTCAAAAAATGGTAGCTAGGGGGCCTGCAGGTTAGCTCGGCTGTTTAAGTGCCTTGTGGAGGAACCTAGTCAGGC